AGCACTCAATAGCAGATGTGGAAGTTCAGGGAAAAACAGGGCACAGAAGATACACCAGGGAAAGGGTGTTTAGGGCAGTGAAAAACACAAAAATCAAAACTGCATAAGATTGTAGCGGGGAAACAGGTAAGAAAAAGTCAAAGCTGTGGTTTTATGCCACATATCTAAGACACTTTTGGATAGCCAAGAAACTTAGGGTAAAGAGAATGAAGAGCAAAATGCAAATAGAGAGGGAGACTACAAGGTTGTTTGCCTCATTTTGATAAATGTTAAGACTGAGTTTAAGAGTTCATGCAGTGTCTGAACATGTCAGTGAAGCTGCAACAGGTTAAGGGTTTTCTGTGGTTGTCGCTCACCACCCCATGGCAGAAGCAATATGGGTTTAGCAGTAACTCCTGTGCAGCCTTTTCAACTGAGCAGTTCAGAAGAAGCTTGGCACACTGGAGATTTAGAAAACAACTGAAAACTGTTTCTTTTTTTCCAATAAATGTGTGAAACTCTTTGAATTTGCATTTGATGGCAGGATGTCTCGGGGACGAATCAATGAGGCTTTCAGGTTGGATGATAACACACTGGAATTTGTGGGCATACCTCCAACCCTGGCTGCACCTTATGAACCTCCAGTCACCATCTGGTTAATCGTATTTGGGGTGGTCATTGGTCTGGTTGTCATTGCATTTATTGCCTTGATCATCACTGGCCAAAGAGATCGCAAAAAGTGAGTAGTATTTTTTGATACTATGATCATGACCACTGGGAGATGTCCCAATAATTGAATCATCCGGATTCTTACAAACTGGGCTGCCAAGTCTAAATGAAACAAGTTAAGGAATGAAAGCCTATTATCCCTCTCCTATCAACAGGGGTAGCTAAAGGTTCAGTTCCCTGCCAGTGCACAGCAGCTTTGGCAGCTCAGTGCAATTGCCCCATCATGAGCGGTTTTACCAAGGCACCTGGATGCTGTAGCCACAGGGAGCTGCAGGGTGGCCAGGCTTCTGCCAACCCTGCTGCAAGGTGGATGGCATGTCCTGCTGGGAACGCAGTGCCTTCTCCAGCAGCAGAGTTGTCCACATTCATCAGCAGCTCCAGTTTTCTATAACCTTATTGGAGGCTGTCCAGTAATGCAATTTTCCTTAAATATTGTTACATTAAGAGGAATAAAACTTGGTTGGTTTTCTATGTCTCTCCATTAATGGGGTTTCCAAGAACATAGTAGCTTTGCCACAGTTCCTCTTTAAAAGCAACACAATTCCTTTTATATAAATGTTCCCAGTTAAACACTGTATTATTTACACTAGGGGGTTGATTCTGGGCATCCAGAAGGACTGTAACAGAACAGGGACTTCTACTATAAAATGACTTTTCCTTACAGGAGGGCAAGAGAAAGTAGAGTTGAAGCAGGATCAAACCCTGAAGCGGTGAACCCTTATGGTGAAGAGGGAAAAAGCAACATGGGCTTTGAGTCGACTGAAGAGACACAAACATCATTTTGAAAGATGTGGGTACACTAAGGGTTTCTGGTTTGTTTTTTTTTAATTTTTCACTTTTAACAATAGTGCCTAGCAAAGGACCAAAACACTACGGGATGTCTTAAAACATAATGTCTTCTGGTTGACCATTAATCTACTGATTCATGGCCGGTAGCAACTAAATCTGCTGTTTATGTGGTAACTAGAAAACATGCAAAAATTGAAGATATGTATATTTTGTGGCATTTCTATGAATTATGCGCATAATATTACACACTCTTCATGCTGCTTTTCATAAGTGTGCCAACTTCTCTCTGTTTCCTCTGTAATGAAATACAAAAGCTTGGAAGTATACAGCTGTATACAGATCAATACACATACACACATAAAAATAACTCATATACTCCTGGGGAACATCTTGATCTTTCCAGATGGAGACCTCAAAAGTGGATCTAATAGTGAGGAAAAAAAACCACCTGACCACCAGAAGAACTTTAGTGATGAAGAGCTCAATTTGATATGAAATAACTGCAATTTCTGCACCTTCAAGAAATCTGTATCAATGCAAAAGGGATACTGGATGAAGACTAACAAGTACTGGAACTTTATTAGGAAGTTGTAACATAAATTATTTTTCTAACTGTTTGCTTGATAAGTATTGTAGAGACCAAATAGCCCATGCTCCCTCAAAAAAAAAAAAAAAAAAGTAAAAAAAAAAAAGTTAAAATATCTCTGAGTTTTGTTGTCATTAAAAATGGAAGAAAACTCCTTAATACTATATGATCAAAGTTGTGGATTTTTTCTATATCATAGTCATTGCTTCCACTGTTACAAATACTGCATTACAAATGCTGCACACAACAAATACAACTGTGCTGTTACATACAAGGGGCAGCAGATTGAGGCTTGGGATATTGGGATTGCATATGAGAAATAAAACCTGTTCACAAGGAGGACAGTGCAGCACTGGAACAGGTTGCTTCTTCCATACTCTAGGAGAGGCTGTGGGATCTCCACATTTAGAATTGTTTAGAGATCAGGTAGACAAATGTATGGCAGATGCAGCAGTGAGGATAATCTCACTGTGAGGGAGAAATTTGGCTAGATGACCTCCAGAGGACCCTTTCACCCAGGTTTTCTATGATTCTAAGGTTTTTAGGTCCCATACCATAGCTGCCACTATGCCAGTATGTTTTTTTCTGTACACGTCAGGATCACTGAAAGTCACAAGGATCTGATACGCGGTCCTGGATTGTGACAAAGAGCCAGCAGCAAACATGAACCTGCACAAAAAATGTCCAGCAAATGCCGGTACTCCTAAAATCATGGACCTTCAAAATGATCAGAATCTGCAAAAAGCAGTCAAACATATATCTAAAAACATACAGCCGGACTCTATAGGATCACAAAACACTATCATAATGCTCCGCATTCATTTCCTGTTTGAGACAAGACCCTTAAGTGAATCAGTTCAAAATGGCAGGCAAATGATACTGATCAACTGCAAACTTGACAGGAATGCAAAGGAATGAAAATACTTTTTCAAAATTTTAAGTTGCCTACCTATACCACATATTGTATTAATAACCCCAAACCTTAGTACTTTAGCTGAAGTTTTAGGATAAATAATTCAACTGTATCTGGTCTTCCTTCCTACTTACCGTGCAGTAACATAAAAAGGGAATGGCAAAGCCTGAAACAATAAATAATGCAATTAGTCATGCTAGCCATCTTCAGATCTGTAGTTAAGATTAGCTTTTCCATTATGACAAAGTTTTCATTCCAATCCAATTAATTTTAAAAGCTGTGTTATGAATCAAAAAACACCATTCAGAATTGTCAACATATAAAGCCACTAAAAAAATACAGTAGGATGTTGGAAGAACATAAATAAAAAGACAACATTTATATGAAAAAGGCCAGCAACATGCATTAGCCCCACCCACAGCTCACACCCTCTATGCTAGGGGGTCCCTCCAGCTCCTACTTTCTCAGTGTCTGCACTCCTTCCTGACACTTTCTCTGGGTCAGCATTCCTTGACCCAGCCTGGTCCTCAGGCAGCATCATACCATGCCCTACCTCTTCCTCCTGTGCAGCCTCCTGTGGCCCCCAGGCCTGCATAGATTCCCACAGTCATTTGCATGGCCCCAAATGCTGCTTTGTCGCAAACACACACACAGCTCTCCACACAGACAAGGATGTGGTCTCCAAGCCAGATTCCAGTGCTGGGACCCGGCAGTGCCAGTAAGCACAGGTAGCTTCTGGTTGGCCAGAGACCTTCATTTCTTTCTCCCCTTTCCCCCTATATCTGCCCCCTGCATTTCTTACTCTTTAGGTTCAGGTGAGCTTGAACCAGAGCTGCAGAGGGGTCCCTGCTAGGGCTGGGCCAGCTCCACCAGGGAAAGGGCAAGCAGGCACCACGTGGACTCTTAGAGACATCACATGCTGGACTAGCTCAAATATAAGGAGAGAGAAAAGGATTATTTTTTGTAGACCTGACTTTATTTTAAACCCTCTTTATTTTATACATATTTGATCAGCGTTTTACAACTCTCTGTGTCTAAATGCCTCTGTCACAATTATGTAGCTTCAGATGTATCTGGTACCTCTAGACTTGCTGAAGTTAGCACTAATTTTTGTAGTGCTATGCACATTTGAAAGTTAGGTGTTCTTATTTAAATGCTAACATGAGAAGCCAAATTTCAGCTCCTCAGTAGTAAAATATTTGGCTAAGCAATTATATTAATAGCCTTTTCAGTTATCTTCCAATTTTTGCTCTTCAGGTTTTATAGTGATCAGCAAATTTACCATTTACTATTGCAATGACTATAGAATCCTGCTTTATTTTTCTCTTTTACCTGTAGCAGAAAGCAATAACACTCTAGTAGATGCCACATATGTTGCTAAATTGTAAATATCCTTGATACATAGCTCAGAATGAATTCCAAATCAAATGAACACCCTGAGGGCCAAAACTAAAGTCAATAATACTGGTGAGAAAACAGATATATTTTACCAGTAGTAATTTCTAAGTAATTGAAAGTGAGATGATATCTATTTATGTTGCTGCCACTTGCAGCAGTTCTAAGTTTGACTTCAGGTGTCAACTTCAAGTGATTACGAAGAAAAAACACATTCAGATGAGTTATGATAATCAGAAAACCTAACAAGCATGTATTTCCCTGTTTACATTACCAGTTAAGGCCAAGCAATGACAGCTTGGATGCACTGAAGGAGTGCAAATAATTGGTATATATATATCTCTCAGTGTCTGAGAAGTCTTTTGAAAAAATGCTAATGAAATGAATTGTATTCTTCCACAGTATCCTTCCAAATTCTGTCACCCACAGAGCGTCACGAAAGCTTTCTCCACATGCTTCTTGGTCAATTCCCTGATTAAATGAGAAAACCACTAATATACAGAATAATAGGGGGGGTTAATGTCAGGTGGATTTCAGATTTAGCTCTCGTACAGAAGGCAGGTGATATGGAACCAGTATGCACAGTCATCTTCTTCTGAATCTTCTTTTTCAAGCTCTGTTGCCTTCTGTCAATGCCTCAAAAAATGGTAAGAGCTGATAAAAGGCAGGGCGCTTTTCTGGTAGTTAAATTTTAAAATAATTCAGGTACAGTAATTTACATTGGTTTCTCTTGATTTTAGCATGCAGAGATTTGTAGACAGTGATGTTGCTATGCATTTCTGCATGCTAAAATAAAATTAAAGTTACTTTTTATATATATATTATGTTGTGATAGTTTAATCTGCTTTACTTTCACTAACATGCCCTCAAATATGAGTCACTTTTCTCATTTTCCTGACAATTATATTAAAAAACCCAATAAAACATCGTGGTCATTTCATGGTATCATCAGTAATGTGTAAAACAGTTCTTTGTTGCTGGTGAGAAACAAGTTGTAGTCCACAAGCAGGTGATTAAAATTTTTACTTGAAGAGGAACAATAAATCAGGATCATTTTTGGCACAAAAGGTGCAGATCTCTCAAAAAAACCCAAGCATGATCAGCATTTGACTCACAGCTCCTAGACTCATGGGTGGGGTAACACATTCCTTCTCCTAAGGGCAGAGTTATTTTATACCTTACCTACCTAAAAAGGTGGAGGTCTCCTCTACATCTGCCGTTTAAGATCTCTGTATAGGAAGACAAATCTCTTTTATTCTGTGGTGGCTAAGAGAGAAAGGACAAATAACCATGGAGAGGTACCATAATGGTCCTGTAATCATGGAAAAAAAAAATTGGAGAGTTAGTTTAGCTCAGCTGCAATTTTTAAACCATTAAAATTAGGTGAAAAGAATCTCATCCTGTTTATTTTGTTGATGTTGAAGGGCATGATGATGATACATGCTTCTGAAATGAAGGGAGCCAATCTTCCTTTATGACCTGTTTCCTGTATTAAAAATTTCCTGAGCTAGATACAGTATAGAATGTACTACATACAAGCAGTGTCTTTTATAAGGGATATTTTTCCCTATAAGAATCAGTTCAGCTATCAACAGGGACTCCTAGTGGCTCCTATTATTTTGTTTTCTCCAGTTTGCATGAGCAGATATACATACCTCATGCCAGCATTTGTCCATTATCTAGTAGGTGGTGTTTGAAACCTGTTGTGCTCTATAAAATCTGTATCCATGAGAAACTTTCTCAGTAACTGGCATACTACATTAAAGCTCACAGGGCTACTTTCCCAAAGTGAACATCTCCCACATTAAGACATGAAATGAAAGTCAAGAAATGCAAGGTAAGTCCCTTTTCACAAAACAAGATACACATGCAAAATAAAACTGATCAGACTCAGAGAATATTGTCCAAAGAAAAGTAACAAGGGAAGTGAAAAATGTGATTTTATACCCAAATGTAAAACAACTCCTACTGCAGGGGAAGATGAAGTTAGGTTATAAAGTTAACTATAAAATATATCTAATGGGGACAACGATGGATTGAAATTTTACAGAATATGTGCAAACATCCTCTTATATGTGTGTGTGTGTGTGTACAGAGAGGGAAGGAAAAACAAAATGACAACTATAGGTATCTATGTTTTTATAAAATAATAATAAAAAATTTACTGTTTTTTCTGAGTGGGACATATACTCCTTCGGTATCAGAAAGATTTCCAAATACTTTATAGTGTCAGCTGCACATACCTTTAAAAACTGGATTACACTGAAGCAATAGAAACACTGGATAATGCTATAATCATCAATTCATAATTATAGCTTTTGAAGAAACAATTTTGGTTTTGTAACTGAACATATGTGAGATTCATGCCTACCCTAAAGTAAAAAAAAAAAAATTGTGAAATATTTATTTCAAAGTTATATATAATACTAGATGCATTCTTTTTTCCCTTTTTAGAAATTTTTGGGATCTTTAACTTCCCTCCAGCTTGAAGACTGGAGCATTGTAGTGTAACAGTGAGATCAGAATAAAATGGAACCTGAATCCCAGCTTTCCTTGATGAGAACATTAAAAACCCCAAGTTTCTTTCTTCTTTGGCATCTGTTTTTGGGGTATGAATACATCAGTTCACTTCTTAAAGACTGATTAATTAATAACAACCAAAAAAGAACTGACAGATCCCACTCTCCCCTTGCTTCCACTGCATCAATGGGTAGTGTTAAAATGAGAAAAGGTCTTCTATGGAAAAATAACATTTCTCATTGAAGTTAATACCAATATTGAAGTTAATGACAGTAAAGCCTGGGGCCAGAATTTAATCAATAAGAGCAGAAAGAAAACGTATCTCCTGAAAATCCAACTTCTGATATAATTGTATATATTATAAACAGTTTGTAAAGGGCATGAATGAACTCTGCCAGAGTCATTAACACTGTGAGACTAGCTGAGGTTAAAGATAAGAAGCAGTCCAGCATTTGGAAATACTTTTATCTGCTTTTTACACCATTGTTCAACGTCAAGAACAGTGGGGTGCCAATCTTTCATCAACTTGACAGCTGCCAAAATTTTCCTGCTGGAGGAGCAGACCCAGATAAGTGGAATTCAAGCCTGTTCACAAAAGGTTGTCTTTCCTTTGACACCTTTTGCAGACTTTAGGAAACACTGAAAAGACCTCAGGGATTTCTAAATCGCAGCTTTAAACCACTGAACTAGAAGTTCAAATGTCTGAAATTCCTGAGTAGAAAGTGATGTGCAAACAGATATACTTTTTGCTGAGATACAGAGTCCCAGCTTACACAGACTCTCTCCACAGATGGCTTATGCACAGAGTCCACTCTGACCTCTGGGAAAAACAGAAAAGCCCTATTGAACTGGGCAGCACTGATTTCTGGTCTAGGTACACCAGTGATTCCACTTTATCTCCACTGCCAAAGTTTACTTTACGATATTAAACACATATGTAGCAAACAGGGAGTGGGCAGAGTTTCTATTTGCCTTAAAGAAAAACCTAAGGGCTAAAAAATTCCAAATAGGATAGAGCTTGTTTGCATAAAAATATTAAACGAGAACACCAGCTGTAACTGTTTTTCACAATCCTTCAGTGTGTTAAATGTCTAGCATTTCTGCTTAATAAGCTGATGAAATCCAAATGTAATGGCATATATATACACACAAATTCATATGTCAAATTCCCTACATACCAAAGGCCCATACATCTGACCTGTTGTTCAGCTTGGTGTAATTAAAAACTTCTTGTGCTGACCACTACACTGGAAACTTGGTTCCTAGAGAACTTATATACAGAACATCCAGAACATACCTACAAGGCAAGAACCAAACTTGGTTGTGGCTGAGTTACAGTGAAAAACTTTACTGCTTCTTTCTTGTACATCACAATGTTCCTAAGGAAAGCCTAGGCAGAACCTTAAATTTCCAAAGGATATCTCATAGAGGCATTAGGATAATCTAGAACACATCGTTGCTACCAAATTTCTAGAGAAATAACTCAGAATCATAGAAACACCTGTTGTCAGGCCATCTAGCCTGGCCTCCTGCTCGAATAGCATCACAGCAGGTCAGCCATGACTGTGTTGCTAAGTCTTAAAAGCCTCCAAAAATTATCATCTTGTGCTCTCCCTGACCAGCATGTTTCACTGTTCTACCACCTCCTGGAGAAACAACTTCTCTTACTGTCCAAGCTGCAGCCTATGGCCGAAATCTGCTCTGCTGTTATATCACCTGGCACAGATAAGACTTGGCTCCACTGGCTTTGTAACTGTAAGTAGTTGTAGGCAGCTTTTAGATACCCTCTTATCTTCCTCCTCACCAGGCTAAGCAGCTTGCTCCCCTCAGCCTCTTCTCAGAGGACGTGCTCTGTAAGTTGCTCATCCTCGCCATTGAGGCAACTATTAATCAGGTTATCTGATTAAGATATCTGGTCCCCAAATTAGGTGAAAACCTCGTACACAAAAAAACCTGAGATTTCTTTATAAACGTGACTAGTGAAATCTCTCAGCTGAAATTTGCCCTTAAGCCTTAACTTTTTAAGACAGCAGAGTGACTCTATTCTTCTTCTAAAATGACTTATGGAAATTCATTAATGGAAAGGAGACACAAAGAGCTGTATCACACCCTTCGGCTTAACTTTCCCATCAGCCAGCTGATCAATGCCAGTAAACCAACATCAGAGCTTCACTAGGCCCCCAGTTCTTTCACTTACCTAGTCATCCTAAAGTCAGATACTTTCACAGTAAGTTTGCTGTCAACCAAACTGTTCCTAGCAGCCTTTATTGAGGAAAGGAGAAGAGATGAATGGAAAGAACATAAAGAGGAGCAAATAACATCAGGTATTTGCTGTTTGCTAATAATTTCTGTCCTCTAGCATTTCAGTGAATAATGACATCTTCGATTGACACAATTAAGTCTGAAACTGTAAGGGAACAGTAAGTGGCTCTCATTTCGCTTTTTGACTACTGATTGAAAATCATTCTGTACCATTATCCCAGCTTTACAAATAAGGACTTTGAGGGATGAGGAAACAGAGGTGAGAAATCCACATTCACCTAGAAAAACAGCAACAGAGGCAGCAACTAAACCCTGTCTTTCAAATGGCTTCCTACTCTGGGCCCTTTTCAGTTGTCTCAGAATTTACCAAGGCATCAAAAAGTGGAAAATATTGATTGGATTATTTGCAATGCACTAGAAACAGAGTGGAGCAATGAAAAGGGGACTGTAACAGCTTGATTTATGAAAAGTTCAATAGAAACCTAGTTCTGTAAATGATCACTTGAGAACATTTATCTAAGGCTGTATTCTCTGCATGCATGCTCATTAACTTATGTGATACTGTTTGCATTTACAGTTTTCAAACTGAAATCAAGCTCCAGTTTTATTTCTGTTTTCCCATGGTTTCACATGTTTTCAGGAAGCTGACTTTCTATTTAGAACTTGAATTCTGCTACTTAAGTTGTCTGATAATCCTGATTTCTGGATTGAGCTGTGAAAATTGGTGAGGTATGGATTTAACAACTGTGTTTACAAATAAAGGCAATTCTTTGAAAACATCAACAAGACAGTTAAAATGCAACTAACTTCCATTTGAAACAAGTCTGTAACATAAATAGTCAAAAATCTTCCAACATATTTTTATCTAGAGTTAGAAGGCAAAATATTGCTACTGACTCTGAAGCATAATGAGCCAGAAATTTGGCTAGATTCACTCTTAATAGGCCAATAAAATAACAGCTTATTTCCCCAAAGAATGGCAGCATTCTTGAAAGGTGAGTTTTGCATAAACTTTAGATACAGGTCCATGAAAGGAGTGATCTCCTAATCAAAAGCAACTTGAAATTCTTGCTCGCAAACTGGCAGATAAATGTATTTAAAAGAGCTGGGCAAGACTGAAAGCAGTGGGGGTCATTATTCTCTGGTTATTCTTTTCTTGGTGGCCAAGGCATCAGTTTCAAAAAGGAAAGTTATCTTCATATCATTTCCTGATGAAGCTGTGGCTGCGACTTTATTTACTTTTGTAGACACTGCATGCCAGAACCTTGCCACATATTTATAAAGAAAAACTGTTAAAGGTCACAGTATATACATGGCTCTTCTGAAATAAAAGAAAATACAGGGAAACAAATACCTCTCTCTCCCTACCATATTACAACCATCCAGGTAACGACAGATAGTCAATATTCAATATTCAGCAGCTGCTGCATCATGACACCAGACTGAAAATTTTCTGTGCTTAAGGATTGGTTCAGCAGAGGTATTTCAATGAGAGGTAGTACAATACCAAAACCCCACTGCACAGCAAAGGTAAGCAACTATATTGATTGTGAATAAGTCAGATCAAGTTACACCCTAACTCTCAAAAAGAATAGCTCAATATTTGGAGTGCTCAGTATTGGAAGAGATTCACCATAATGCTGAGAAGGCCAGATGCCTAAGCCAAAACCAATCAAGTAGAAAGAGTATATAGGATAGCCAGTGAAATTGTGCTGATGGTAGTGTATAAGTTTGGGAATTGATTCAAAGCAGTAATTTTCAGCAAGGTAATACTGGTGCTCAGGGGTTTATACACATGTAATATTTGATTGTTTCTTTTTTTATTTATTAAAAACATCACAACAAGCAGTATATGTTAAGACCTTGCAAAGTGCCTTCCAACCCAAGTATTAATAGATTAGTTGGCATAAGATGCAACACTTAACTGGCCAAATGACAAAATATGTAGTAGATGTCTCCAGGAAAATTGTTACATTTGCCTCAGCCTGCTTTTCCCTCCTTAACCCCTGCTGGCTATGCAGTACAGGCTCAACCCATTGGAGTTGAGTACACTCAACCTATTCAGTGATACATTTTAATGTAGTGTGATGGTTAGGACTTGTCTCCCAGCTTGCCTCCCTCTTAAACAAAAGACTTTCATATTCTGCCCCTGCAATGGTTCTACATCCAGTTTTGAACACCTTCCTTTCCCCTACTCCTTCCCATTCCCACTCCTATTCCCATTTCCATTCTTTTCCTTCTCTCTCACACTTGAGACTCTGCTGTTCCCCTGGATTATGTGCCTATTACGCAGCATTATTCAGATGACAAAATTCTGGACCTCTGTTCCCCCATTCAGGGAGCCACAGTCACCTATGAATTCAAAGAACAATCATGATGTGAATGTGCCCAAGGTTCACTTTTAACACAGTGTAGAGATTGTTGTTGACCTGTCACAGCAAGCAGCATGTCCATAGCATGCTCATGTGCATAGAAATGTTACACTTTCTTGGGATATTCACCCAGGAACCTTGCTGAATACAGATGCAATACAAACTCCTGCTTCGCAACACATTTGGCTAAAGTTCAAACCATAAAATCACCTTCTTTTCCCCAGTTAAATAAATAAATAATATAAATAAATAAATAATTTACAAGAAACAACAAGGTTGGCATTAATTTCAGTGAAGTTTAGCCTTTTACACTGTAATGTCCAGAAAGGAGACATGACTCACCTGAACTCCTTTAAGGACTTCATTAGAACAAGATGAATAATGCCTGAGAAATATTTCTTTCCAATAAAAAGAGGGTCTAGGTAACAGGTTGTGATATCCCACTATAAATATTTAAAATTAGGTGAGTTCTACTCCAGCCCATACATGAAGCAAGTCATCTGCAATTTTTTTTGGGTGAGCAGATACAGATTTATAACTGGGGAGATTGAGAGTTGTTCACCCCATCTCCTTCCTCATATCCCTTCCAGAGGCTCTACGTGTTATAAGACCCTAACACTGACACACACATATCCTGTCTGAAAAAGAGTTCTACCCACCACACTCAGTTCCTTTACATGAAGAATTAGACTGACATAGTTTTTATTGCCAAAGCATTTCTACATTACTGAGCAAATAAAAAGATTTTCATTGCACTCTATTATATTTGCACTATTTTTAGTCCTTATGTGGTATTCCAGTCCTAACTTTTACTCTCCTCTTTTACTTCTGTTAATGATTACCATACTGGGCTGGAAATTCTGACTTTCAGAGTTCATTAAACAGCTACACCTCTATATTGCAGGGAGAAAAAGAAGACATCTAGAAGTTCACTGCTGTGAAGTTTGAAGTAAATTTCACTTTCCCTAAGTTAACTGGAGTCAGTGTTATCCAGCACCTTTGGGGACTGAAACACAACTGCCTTTCTCCAGTGTTCAGCCACACCTGAGTTTCATTCCTGAACCTATGGTGCAGGTCTAAGGGAAAGGACACTGAGTCAAGGCTCCCAAATGATCATGTTCCATCAAAGTTGTTACTGGCTGGGTACCAATAACACTGAGTTTGAGAAAGTAGCAAGCCACAAGAGGAAAATATTTACACAGCGCATCCAAGAGGAAAAAACAGGGGAGGGAGGCTGTGTCTCCTCCAGAAAAGTATATGAACTGCAGTTATCTACCTGTACACCTGACCATGGTGCTGTCCATCCTGGTTCCTAGTCAGCTGCATCCAGTCAACACTCAGCGAGCACAGCACTGAGTTTGCTCACGGTTGTGTTCTTGTCTGGGTGAGCTGTAAAATCATCACAGAGCTGACCTGCAGAAAAAGCCACGCTGGAGCAAACAACATAGGACTAAGTGAAAAACAGAGCTTTGAGGGGAAATGCCCTCAGTGTGGCTTTGTTCCAAGTCTATTTTAGGGGTGAGTCATTTGTTCATTTATGTAGAAGAGGCATTTCTTGAAATCTGTTTATCCATACCAAGTTAGCACAAGGATTTCTAGCACTTTATAATACTACAGCTATTTGAAGAGCATCAGTATCCTCTAGCTACACTGTATAGCAAAGACAACAGACACAGAAACATTTCCATGGTTGTTCATATACAAACAATAAAGGATGTGTAGGACCTTCAGACAGAGCAGCTGCTCAGACTGAGTACAGGAGATATCAGCATATCAACTATAAAGAGAAATATTGGCTTGTTGTTCACAGGCTGGTTTCTGAATAAGGTGCAGCAGACATATGAAAAATACCAGCATTGTAAAAACTGCTTTTTAATGTCAGAGGGTAGGCTCACGTCCTGTATGCGTGATTATAGGCCATGAGATAACAGGGACAGCACTAGTCCCCACCTGCTTTTTCTCATCCAGTGGCTCTCGTTGCCCCAAAATAGCTGTGTCCACTCTGTAACACTGACTTTTGACAGCAAATCCTTAGAGGAGGATCCCACTGCCCTAAAGTTCTGCCAGGAGCTCTATCAGAAGTAGTTTGCTCTGTCTCCCACAGACCATGATGTAGTTGTCTGCCTAAAAGCTGAGAGGTACATAATTCTCCTCTAAATATGAACCTTCTGGTTTCATAATATTTAAGTAAACTGAGAGTCCCCAGTGGATGAAACAAGCCAAACATGCTCTGTCAGATCAGTTCAGGGAGTACCAGTGTAGTCTTTTCAATAGCAGTTCCTTTTATGAAGCGTAACTTTAGCATACAAGAGAATGATTTGTCTAAATGACTTTTTTTCCTCTGAAAGTAAATATATTCATACCTTCAGAAGTCTGTGGGAAGTGATACTGCTGATGAAAAAACCCTATATTTATTGTAAGTATTATGACAGCCACATGTAGGATACTATTGCTGTAGGTACAGTGGACATGTAGAGTGGAAAGGCAATCTCTGCCCAAAGAATCTTTTGGTTCTCAAGAAGACCCATTCTACACACTCACTTAGGCTTAGCAATACTCTGCTCTTCTGCCAGTGTCTCTTTGCTGACACTGGAGTTTTCCCTGCAAAGACAAAACAATATGATAAAATTGTGAAAATCCAGTGGCCTTTCAATACTTAAGGGGCTTATAAAACAGACAGAGACAGACTTTGTACAAGGCCTATTGTAACAGGACAAGGAGTAATGGTTTTAAACTGAAAGGTAGTAGATTTGACTGGACACAAGGAAGATATTTTTCATGGTGAGGTTGGTGAGAATAGGTTGCCCAGAGGAGTTGCGGATCCCCCATCCCTGGAAGTGTTCGAAGTCGTGTTAGATGGGGCTTTGAGCAACTTGATCTAATGAAAAATGTCCCTGCCCATGACAGGGACTAGATGATCTTTAAGGTCCTTTACCAAACAAACCATTATAAGATGTGATGATTCTATGAAAAATTCCTTCCTTGGGCTAAAAGTCATGCTACATGCATTTTTTTTGAGTAGTTATGATGTAGTCTAAGAAGAATATTTAAAAAATTTGAGACATATGTAATTGTCTGGATTTTTTTATCACTTGGTAAACACTTAAACAATCTTTCTCCTGCACTGTGCAATGCATTAGAAAGTCCCATATTCTCTGTGCATGCTGTAACAGGCAATAAAAGTACGTATGCCTTTAGTGACCTTATGCAGAGATTGCATCTACCTTTTCAAAATGTACATGGAAGCTTTCCAAAACCGCACAACCCTAGACTTTACAAATAAATGTTCTTAGCATGACAGACAACAGGAGTCCATATGGCAGAAAAAGAAGCCTTCAAAATAACCTCTTGTACAGAAATACTGATGATTCTTATTTATGGTTCCTTTCACAGGATACTATAAAAGTAGAGATTTTTCAAGGAAATCTCTGAATCTTGTCCAGTATGGTTTATTATGAGACAATATGTTATGTTTCTGTGAATTTTTCATTCAAATACCTTGGCGTGCATTTAATGCTTACAGTGTCATGTCATCTTACTAAAAGGGGAAATATGGATCTGATGTCTCACTTTGACAGAGCTGGACTCACTTTATCCTGTATCAGACTACTCACATACACACAAAGGCCCAGGAGTGCTAGGAAGGGTGATTTAATGCTGAAATAAGAGTACAAAAATTGAAATACCAGCATCACAGAAGTCAGTGACAAAACCGTAGACTTTATTTAAATGAAACCAGTATGTTTTTCACATGAATGGATGAGACAAGAAGACAAATTGTATCTGATTTTATACATTTCAGGAAACCTCACGCTTAGTACTCTGAATGTTATTGAAAAATAATCCAGTAAAACTGCCTAATCTTTGCTAGACTTGTGTGGAAAACATTTAAGCAGTGTATGGCTGCATACTGATTAACCTGGGCTTATCATCATTCAGAGACAGCTTTCTCAAGTAAGTGCTCGATACAAATCCTCTATTCCCACAAAATAAATAGCTCACAGTTTAGCTATTGTACGTGACTGCATCTTAAATCTGGTCACTTAAAAAAGGAAAAGGGATTAAACAGAGAGTCACTTTTCAGAATGCCACTGACAGAAATGCTCATGGTTAAAACATTCTTGCTTTTACTTACCACGCAGAAAAACACAGACGCAATTTGTTTTAGAAAATTACACTTCAGTGGAGAAATTTTTCTGCTAGTCATCGAAATGGTTTCTTCCTCCGTGGCTGGTTTCATGGTATGGAAGGTTGGAGCAGCTGTTCAACAATATCATTACATGCCATCTCAGTCACTGTGATGAAGGATGGCAGAGACTAATGGGTGCCAGCAAACTGTCCAAGATCAAACACAGAGAGTCAACAGGCAAGCTCAGTACTCTTCCTGACACAATGTCAGATGAAACTGAGAAGCTAAGCTAAGTGAGCATGGACAGCTGAGCTACCACTTACAGCAGCTGGCAGCATGGTACGATGGATTCAGTTATGGGGACCAACAGACATCTGTAGTTGTAAGGTGGTGGGCTGTATGTTGTGCCCATCAGAAAAATAAATGGGAGAAATAAATTGTGTATTTGAGTATGGACGTACACAGAAAAGAAGAGTTTCTTTAACATAGATCTCAGTAGCACAAGAAGAAAACAGAGTGCATTAAAACGGGTATAATGTGGCTCCTGATGTTTGTTCCTATTACCTTCAAGAAAGCAAGACCTTTGTTCTGTTTTCAAGCAGAATTTAAAGTTTTTGTTAAGACATACATGTAGCTTGTCCTGACATAATTAATACTGCAAAAGTCTCAGTTTCTCAACCCAAAGGGAAAAATCTGTAAATGTCTCCCCTTTTTCTGGATCTCCCTCTGCTTCTTCATTCATGATAGAGCCCTCTACTCAGGCTCTCTAAGCAGAGCTGCCTGTATTGTATGTTTTTACATAATCATAAGTGAGGGTATTCAGGTCTATATCTCAGCTTACCAACTCACTATTTTCTTCAAGTTGCTGGGGTTGTGTGCTGCTTTCTTCATCCAGAACAATATGTGATCTTAGTTATAAATTGCAGACATTTTATGTCAAGTTAAGGTTGCTTTATTTGTTGGTTTTCTTACAGTTGTAACAGTAGATAAGTAATTTCAGTCTGTTCCAAAGTAATTTGGACATCCCCTATCTCAAAAATTCTTCCCTCCCACATTCCATATATCAAGTACATAAAATCAAACTCATCTAGTATCCGTCATGAGACAGACGAGGAATCTTACCTCTTCCAGACAACTCCTGTTTGTTGCACTGCCTTCACCTCCAGTAATTCCTAAAGCCATTTCTCCTTTAATAACTTGGGAAGAGGTTATCCAGATGGATATTAATGAAAAATATCTTCAGTTGCTTAAGAAGATTTCTCCACTTGTGAAACTCAAAAAGAATAGTTAAACCCTATGCAGGATGGGGGTGCCCTGTCTTTGTGGAAAAGTATTACTAAAGCTGAGGAGAGACTGAAGTGATAAGGGATTCACACTGCAGCACTTCACACTGGTCTCCCACGGTGTCACTGCAATTTCAGTTGTGATGGTGGTGGTCTAAAGAAGGTTTGTGCATATACCAGAGACAACATTTGTTAGGAGAGACTGTATCTTTTTATCAATTAAACTAAATACTGGAAAAAAATTTGATAACTTCTGTATACACAAGCTCTTCTTTAGGCACATACAAAAATTAAGGCCATTGAATACTATCTTAGCTATTATACTAGGCAGTGACTGATGTAAATTTTATTCAACCTGCTAGCCAAGGATGGTAATGAAAATGGAGTTGTACAGTAGGCAACAAGGCTTCTAGAGTAATGTTTAAAAGTTACCGAGGTAATTCTAACATATATCCTGAAAGATGGCAGGACTGCCTGCAGTCTTGTCTTTAAAGATGAGATATGTGGAAGACCATGGTCATGGAACAAAAGAATTCTACAGGGCATACTTAGCCTTCCCAATCCATTATTTTCCACCAGTCAGAATATTTTTCTTGTGATACACAGTACTTATTGCTTCTGACAAGCTGGATAGCTGAATTACCTTCAGGTTTGTAGTTGCCTTGGGCCACAGCAACATTCAGGACTGATTTCTCTGGTGATAGTCTCCGGGGCACGCTTCCACACTTCCATTTTTGAAGACAGAGGAAATAAATGATAAGGAGATCTAGCACAGGCTACGGTAAGAAATAACCCATGGCATGTATATGATCAGTTATCTTTTGAACATTTATAATAATATTAGGCAAATTAATCCAAGCTCAGAAGTTCAAGGCACAGACAAGCAGCTTTTTCCTCATCCATTTAGAAGGAGGGCCTAGACACTGTTGTCCACATTTGAGAGACAGGTGGGAACAGAGCCAAGTTCTGTCATAATGACACCAGTAGCAATTAACTCTGAATGGAGGCTGACACTGCTGTAATAGGAAGCTCTCATTACCAGAATTACATGATAGACCTGACTTGTATCAAAATCCTGACACCTCTCTGAAGCTGATACTACTTAATGAACAGTTGCAATTCCTGTGCTTTGGACACCACTAGACCAAGTTGTGCTTTACTGTAACTAAGTGCAATGATGTCTTATTGTATCAAAAGACCCCATGACAGTATTTGAAAAATAACTTCAGGGTTCTTTTTAATGGCTTTTGATCCACAGTAATGTTACCGTAAGCACAACAAGCATTAGCCAACTCTTACTACTAATCACTGAAAGCAAAAAGCTATGCTAATTCTAAATTATTCCCTTTTCCTAACACAGTTTTTTGATGTTTCTCAGCTAAGCATGTTGGATATATGTAATCTCACTCCTTGTTGCCTCACTTCCCCTGTGCAGAGCTGAACATGTGTAGGTATGTAACTATGGGATTCATCTAACCAGGTTCTGACTCTTGTCTTCCTTCACATGAAGTATGTCATCCTGCAGGAGTGCCTACCTCTCATCATGGGTTGTTGAGGATGTCTGCCCAAATTACTTGGATGGGAAGCCTGGCATTAAAGTTAGGTGACAACAACCAAATCATGGACAGAAGAGTATCTAAATTAAGGCACTGAAATGTGTTTAGAAATCAGAGGAATGTCATAACTGAGAAAACCTGGACATCACAGTTCTTTAATTAAGAGCAGAGAAAACTACACTTGAAACACTGACAGCTAAGGATGAGGAAAAATAAAAATGACTTATAAGAAAAGGCTGCAAATGCCACCTATTTATTTACGTATTACTGAAAACCACTGAATTAAATTCAGTAAATAATGCGAAGGGTCCTGAAGTAGGCTGCGATTCCTTTGAATCAAGTCCAAATGACCATGGCATTGTATGTTTACTTGTTTTCTATTTATTGGTATTCCTTAATTTAAACAAGAAGAAAACACAGAACCACCTTATTGAGTCCACTGAGCCAGAAGACATACATGATCTCTTCTGCATACACAAAACCTGTCAATCTGAGCTCCATTCTTTAAAGAGGTATCAGTCACAGAAGAGTCCTCTTCATTTGATGAGAAGGAGGTCTGTTATACTTTTTGGTGGTTTCTGCTGGCTGTATCTGACTTTGCTGGAGAGAAGCTTATAGTTTGATGGCCTGAGTTAGGCAGCATTCAAGTTTTAGACTATTCATTTGCTTTGTGGAATGACAGAACTACAGTTGCCTGCAGACTTCAGAAAGATGGGCAAAAAATATAGTACAGAGATTAAACTGTTGTCTCTTTAGAGCATCTAGTGATGCTAGAGCAAACATATGCAGTAATCAAGTTTATGAGATGGTGTGTACCTGTGACATTTGGTCTTGGTAATACCTGGAGATTAAATTGCTCCTTCATTTCCTGTCTTTTGTTTTTTTTTCCCCTTTTCTTCTTTTTGGTGGAGGGGGTTGTTTTGTTGTGTTTTTTTTTTTTTTTTAAGTGATCAGAGTATTATCCTCTGATGGAGGTTTCATCTTTTTGGATGAACAGAAGAAACTGCAAAACATTGGCCAAAGTAAATGGTATAAAGAATTATTATCATGGAAAATAATTTTGCTCTGTCCAACCTGCCAAGGAAAGGAACCAGTTCAAGATGAGCACATCATGTTTGTGTTTCACTGCTGGATGAATATTTGACTGTTGCAATATTCTAGACAGACTTCAACTGTAATCTGGTAGAGATTAATATCCTGATTTGCATCCATTTATACAGCTTTCCACGTCCAAAACTGGCTGAAAGCCCCAGAACACTTCCAAAGAGTAACTGAGTGGGGTTTATTATTTCCTTTATGCTGGCAGTGGTATTATTGTGGGTTTTGTATTGATGACTGTGCCACTATCACCTAAGGAGAGCCATAGGGGATGGTCTGAGATTCAGCTGTGATGTGCATATGAGGAACAGTTATTATCTGCAAAACTGCACCCCTATCATATGGCTGGAAGCATGTGCTAAATCACTTTAGCTCCTATAAAGCTTGTCCAATACATAATAATGAGACAATATGTGTGTGCACTCAGTGAACTTCCATCTGATCTACTGCAGTGTTGTTCTGACCTACATGAACCATTTTCCATTGAAAAGATGGTGGATGTCAGGCACCAGCTGAGGTGAAAGTATTTCTTAGGCAGAAAGCTCCTGCTTCCTTCTGTTATCAAAGCCAAGAGGAAGTGCCCTCTGCTTCCCATGGAGTGACCTTTTGTGCCCAGTATTCCTTGTAATGGCACCGTGCTTCAGGAAACAGCTCCTCTGTGGGAGACTAGAGCTATAATGGTGAACTGATGAAAGAAATAGAGGTATCAAAGGTGCAGGACATGAGTGTGCAAAAGTAATGCCTCATGCAAAAGTAACACCTTAGGTCAGCTGGAAAGAAAGAAGGGAGAAAGCCTTGCAGAGGCTGGAGAGGTGAGTGACATGAACTGAGGTAGGCAGAAGGAAGGCTGGGGGCACAGTGATACCTCTGATGATCAAACAAAATACATGAAAGGACAAAGTAAAAATGTGCTGAGAGCTTATAGAAGCAATTCTGTGACTAAATATAGACTGTTGCTCACCATGAGAAGTCAGTATTGGCCTTTTTAACCTGATTATATCAAATGGCTTGGGAAAATGAAGTCAAGTTGTTCTACGCAGATGTGGTAATTATTTTATCTTCATTTACAGAACCTGTTTTAGAAGTACCTATCGGAAAACTGTCGTGTCCCTGCTTTTTAAGTTTCCCTTTCAAAATATCTTCTCTAAACTGAACCAGATAACAAAAAGAAATCACAAAGGCTTAGCAGAACCTCAGAATGTTCAGCAGCAGATTTGCATGACTGATGATCTCTCCATATAGACAAAGCATCTCCTGATGGAACCCAGGCATAACAGACCAGGATATTCAAAACAAGTTATGCTCCTGCATGTTCACAATGCTATTGCTTTCAAATCTCAACATCAGAAAAAAAAAAAAAAAAGTCAAAATCCTCTTTGCTCCTAGCTTTTTTCCAAGGCTTTTTTATTATGTTTTCTTAAAGCTCCATTGTATAGCTCTTGTGATTTGTATCTTCTCTTGTGATTTGTATCTTGTCTCCTGTCAACCTATGTGTTTCTTAAAGCCATGGCTGTTCATATTAACTGCATAAATAAAATTCTAGCTTTTCTTTCTTTTTTTTCTTTAAGTTACTTTCTGATTAACAGAGAGAAACTAGGAAACAGAGCCAGATCTAAAGATACAGAACAGAAGACAAATTAAAATAAAGCAGGAAATACGGATTTAAAAATCTCACAATTTGGCTTAACTTGTTAGAGGCTGCGTAACAATGTGTGCATACACGGTCAGACCGTACTGCTAGTCCTTTCTTTAAGAGATAAAAATATCATAAAAACTTATGCCACTTTAGTGTCTTCTCTTGTCATTGTTGTTGCTACCTCCTTCCCACCTACAAATGTCAATAATTAAGTTGGGTAGTAAAACTAAGGTCAGATGTTGCATTTGTCCAGGAGGAGATAGATGAGGAAATAAACATAGAAGCAGACCTTCCAGTTTACTTTTGTTCTTAACCCTGACAACTCTTGACCTTCTTTATCAAGCAACTGCTGTGCTAGAGGACTCAGGTTGAATTGAGCACAGTTAGTACTTTTTGTCATCCTGGTGTCCTGTTTGTCTCTTTAGGTCTGTGAAAGCCTGCCTTTCTCAGATGGACAGTAAGGCCCAGTGGGTGCTGGTGGGACACCACATTCTTGGGTTTCTGTCTGATATAAAGTCAAGATATAAGCAAGAGCACATAAAGACCTCAGAAGCACTTCCCAATTCACTAACTTAGAGGCTGCCTCTGGGAAGGTGGGCTAAACAGACATTCCTAAATAGGCATCTGTACTCTTGACCCAACCCCAGAGCAGTGTAACTTGGGATTTGCCCGTGAAAAATGCAGTTCATCACCATTTCTCAGCCAGGCAGAGCAGGTGTATCTGTTCATACTTTCAGTTACAATGTTTTCCCAAGCACTGTTTTCACTGAGGAGGGTGGCGGAGGGAAATCTAGGATCTCTAGGAATGGGGACCTCCTACACACTAGAGAGCTAATTTTGATGGTATTACCTTATCCCACTGGACATTAGCCTTTTACTTTATAGGTGTTTCTACAATGACTGTAGCCAGCACTGCCATCAGCATGTTAAAGTGAACTGAACGTGGCTGAGACTTTCCGTGTTCGCCACAGGGAGCAGGGAGATGAGCCCTTCCTCTGAGACACTGGTGGGCACAAGGATGCTGAAGCTTTACAGTAGATTAGAGGTCGACACCAGCTTCCAGTGAGCAGCTGTTTGAAATTCTCCATCTCATCCCACAGCCCTCCCTATCACCTGGATGCTGGCTCTTTCCCTGTAGCCAGATACAAAAACATTTTCACCTACAAGAGTTGGAAGGACTGGAGGCAGTGGTTTCACAGACCCAGTTGTACAACACAGAATCCCATCCAGAAGAAAGGAAGAATGAAAGAAAAAAAGCAGGAATTTAAGTAATGCTTTACCTCTTGAGGCTATCTTGTTTGCAGATCTGTACAGTGGCAGCAACAGCACCATAACAGCTGACATTTAACCTGCCCAAGGTATCAACATGCTTTAGCTCTGCATTTTCCAACCTTATTTTAATTTAATCACCATCTCAATATCTTTACAAACATTCTTTACTTTGTTTACATCAACATTGTTTACATTCATGTAGAAATAATCCATGGAAATTTGCAGTTGCATTTAGCTCTGTGATTTTCCCAGTTTATTTAGAATCATGGAACCTTTTAGGTTGGAAAAGACCTCTGAGATCATCAAATCCAACCATTAACCCAGCACTGCCAAGTACACCATTACACCATGTTCCTAAGCACCAAATCTACATGCCTTTTAAAGACCTCCAGGGATGGTGACTCCATCACTTCCCTGGGCATCTTGTTCTACAGCTTGACAAACCTTTCCATGAAGAAAATTTTCCTAACATCCATCTCAATACCTCTCCATGTACAACTCGAGATAAGTTCTTCTCATTGTGTCACTTGTTACCTGGGAGAAGAGACTGACCCCCACCTGGCTACAAGCTCCTTTCAAGTAGTTGTAGAGAGTGACGAAGTTTCCCCTGAGCCTCCTTTTCTCCAGGCTAAACAATTCCAGATCCCTCAGCTGCTCCTCATAAGATTTGTGCTCCAGACCCTTTACCAGCTCCATTGCCCTTCTCTGGATATGCTCCAGCACTTCAATGTCCTTTTTGCATTGAGAGGCTCAGAACAGGACACAGGAATCAAGGTACAGTCTCACCCGTGCCCAGTACAGGGGGACAGACACTCCCTGCTCCTGCTGGCCACACTATCGCTGATACAGGCTGGGATGCCATTGGCCTTCTGGCCACCTGGACACACTGCTGGCTTATGTTCAGCCAGCTTCAACTTTGTTGAAGTTTTTTTCATTGGCACTTTTAGTCTCTGAATCAAAAATTATTAAGAAATACTTCTTTCAGTTACCCAGTGGTCACTGGTTCGAGGCTGTTTGGATCCATCCCTACAGAGCCAGTCTTCCTGTGCTCTACACATCTCTGTTAGCAACATCAGGAACAAATTTAGAGTAGATACAGCACATTATCATGCATGTTGTTTTCTGACATAAACAAAGAGTTCAATATAAAAAAATTCTCTTTTTAGTTCTTCTCTTGGCTAAACCATCCATGACTGTAAGGAGCTATTTTCTTCGCCCTTGCAACTGACTGGGGGTTTCATGGCCTTTTTGCTGCTGTGACAAGTGGTTTTGAAGCTACGTGAAGGTATTCAAATTAGTGTTACAAATCAGTTGACAATTCTGTACATTATTAAGTGTTCCATACTGATGAAATCTGTGGTAGTAGTAAATAAGCCTGTATAATTAACTTCGATTTTCAAAAGCAAATGCCTGATACAGGAAGTCTCACAATTCTAAATTAGGTTCCCAATTGTTCGCATCTATATTTTTGGATTAATTTTTAATTTTGGGTTCATACTTTTTAGTTTTTGACTGCAAATGACTAAGACGAAGCTTTAAAAAAATCAAGCCTCAAGAGGCTGAAGCGCAAACACTCATAAACTGCTGTGCCCTCTACCAAACACAGCATTTCACTGTCAAGTATGTACACAGGTATGAGAGAATTCCCTTCTGAAAAAGTTGCATCTGGGAGGATACTGTTGTACAAATTTTCCTGTCTCAGTCTTTACAGATAAAACCTAAAATCCTGAAATAATTGCAACTAAATTCTACAGGAAATACTTCAGAAAAGCACGTTATAATAAATTATGCAAAAGAAACAAAGTTGTTTAGAGAAAATATATTAATATAAGATTTAGCTTCTAAAACTGTATTGTTTTACACTTATCTATATATTCTCCTGTGCTGAATTTCTATTGTTCCCACCCATCCAGTTTATGGGACATAATCACTAGAATGGTCTTACAACAAAAGACTGGAATTTAACTAGAGATATTAAGAATAAAGACAAAAATAATTCCATCTGGTTTATTTTGTAGGTAAAAATGTCGCTAACTTTTGGATCAAATACTGCAGATAGAATTTGGTGTATTATTTCCCCCAGTTATACTGTAAGCTACATTGTATAGCAGCTATGGTGTTAAAAGAAGTTTAGCACATACGTGGAAAGGTGTAAGTATAAATAAAAATAATACTTTCTTAACCAAAGTGTCCTAAAGAAAAGCTGCAGAAACAAAGGATGGCATCAAATATTTCTGGATATTCCCATCATCTATGTACGAAAGACCTTATAGTCTACATGTAAACTCTTTCTTTCCACTTCAGTTTTTCCACATTCATCCTCTAGCTTCTGGCTTGTGTTACACAAGGCCAGACAAATGCTCACCAAGTGCAGGAGCCTGTCTCTGACAGCATCCACTAACAAATACTGAGACAAAGTATATGCTCAGGGCAGCTGTACAGTATCAGAGAATCCTAATCCAAAGGTGATGCAGTTATACCTAATTCCCTTTGAGAGGTATATTTGTTCTGTGAATTCATTTAGTTGCCTTTTTAAAAAATAACTAGCATCTATAATATCTTTCAGTAAGGAGTCCTACAGCTTAACTACCCCATATGAATAGTCAGTTTGTTTTACTATCTTCCTATCTTCCTTTGATGCCTACCTAATAATTACTAACATCTGCTTTGCTTTTTAGATCTTGTTTAGTACTGGGCTGACTCTGTGTGTGTGTCTGTGTTAGGTCAGGGTTTCATTTCCCTTGTGTACATTGCTTTTCAGTCATCTGCACTGAACTCCAATTGCTTTTGCTATTGTTTTTGTTTGTTAGCCCAAAGAGCTCTGTTATTAAATGTTTACTTTCACTGGTAAGTGCACATATCCAATCAATTTGCTTCCTGTCTCCTTATTTATTTAAATGATGGAGTCCTGTGAGCTTTTCTCTTTAACATGTTATCCACCCATCCATTAGTCACTGTCAAGTCTCTCCTTTGACCTCTGTTCAGCTTACAACATCTTTCTTCAATTATAGCCACCAGAACTAGACACAATATTCTCCCGGTGATCATGGCAGTGTCAAAACATGTTGAGTGCTTTTACTCAATACGTGCCTGCTTCCATGTCCAAGGATGCCATTAGCTCCTTTGGCCACAGCATCACAGTGGAAATTTATGTTCAGCTATCACGATCCTAAAGGCTCTTTTAGAGATACTGTTTTCTGAGCCTCCCATCCTAAAACTATAGCATACACTTTTCCCTGCTTAACTGAATTATGCACTCCTGACATAAATACACTAATTTACATAACTGTGTCATTCAGTGACACAACACAGGGTGAGGAAGAAGGGAAAGCAAGATTGGAATGACGCCTTGGATCAACCAGGCAGATAAATGCTACATACCTGTCATGAGGTTGCCCTTGGGCAAGTCAATTCTTGCAGGGTCATGAATTAATGCGTTATTCAGCAACCCTGTTACTCTAGCAGCCTGCAACTGAAAGGGCAACTGAAAGAGATGAAATGGAGCAAATTTAAAGTTACACTTTTCTCATGGTATTCAATTCTTGAGTAAGTATAGTGCTTTGTGCAGCTGCATATTCTGATATAAAGCACAGCCTTGGATTTCCTGACTGTGGCATATTTGAGTGGTAAGGTGTGGAGCCTGCTCTTGGTGTTGTGGCCAAAAAAGAAAAGTAGAATGAGACAGTGAGAATTAAAGTAAGAATTTTACATGCTTAATTATGCTCTAAAATAAGTGATAGATAACCATATATATATTCCAGATAATATTAAAACAAATATCTGGTTAAATTTTGAATGCAAAAGAAACAAGACTTGATCTAAATTCTATCACAGTCAATTAAAAATATTCCAGCAAAATCACAGTGTCAGTAATGGGGACTGGTTTGGTATTTGCTGTAAATATCACAGAATCACAGAATCACTTAGGCTGGAAAAGACCTTTAAGATCATTGTGACCAATCAGTATCAGTAGGACTCAGCAACATTAGGTTAGGACAAGAACACAAAGTGTAACATTAGGATGACTGACATATTTCTCAAGAAATATAAATTAAACAAATTTCATGGTTAACCTGAAAAGGATTGTCTTGCAGGAGGTGTTGTTGATTCCTCAAGATTCACTGTCTCAGCACATTGGATTTTCTCAATCTCAATTGATCCCCTCTTGCTTCCTTTTCTCTAAGAGAAAAACACAGCAGACTGTAAACTAATGTTAACACAATATAAAGTATTTTAGTTTGATGAGTTTGTACAGTTTTATATTTCAAACTCTATAAGGCACGCATTCAGGCTTGTTAAATTTTGAAAGAAAGGTAGCAAAAACCTCCTTGGTGCCCTACTTGCATCTATGGATCAAATATATGGATCAAATTCCTTTTGAAATCAGTTACAAAAATAACAGGACACAGCCCTACATCTGAGAAAGCATCTGCTGCAACTGCAGGAGTACAGGGCAGAAGGGGGGACTAAGAGGAAAAGAAGGAGGAGTTAAGAGGAGAACACCTTAAATGCAAACCAAAAGCCTGGCTGTGACATTCATAATTTTTTTATGGTAATGGAGCTTATTCTCACTGAGCTTCCCTTCAGTTTTGTAATGGGATGTACCTCACAGGATGAGTTCTAAAGTATGAAAAGGAGCAAAAAAATTAAAGTTGCCTGAAACATATATTTGCATTCCCAACAGGAGATCTTTTGAAAAGCCACGCTTTTGTGATATACAGTCACTCCTTAGGAAACAAGGATAGTTTAACCATCTGCCTTGTGCAGCTGAGGGATAAGATTCTGAAGTAATTATGCCTCATACAAGTAACTTCTGACGCCAGTTATTTACATCAGTTCAGAGCGAAGCCTCAGCGAGGAAAACATCCCTATTCAAGACAGTGTGTAAACATATGTCAATGTTAATTACTTGCTTAAATTCTCTTTGGAAGGACACAAACAGATGCTCAATAGCAAGCACAACTGTGAGGCTTGTTCTGAATATAAACACTCATAAGCCTGTGAGTAAGTGTTTTCCTGAACTGAAACTAGAATTTGATATCTTATAATTCTACTCAAAACAAAGTATGCATATTGTTCTAATACATAATATCCAATCATGTTTCACAGAAGAAAACTGGCGTGGCACTGGACAATCTTAAACAGTTTACTTAAAAAAAAATTACTTCTTACCCCTTTGTCATATTCATAAGAAATGTTTGTTTTTGACAGAACAAACAACCTTTTCCTGTAATTTAATGACCACATCACTGCACAGAATCACAGAATGTTCTGCATTGGAAGGGACCCACAAGGATCATTCAGTCCAGCTCTTAAGTAAAAGGCCTATACGGGGTTGGAACCCACAACCTTGGCATTATTAGCACCATGTTCTGACAAACTCAGCTCATCTCAGGGTTTTGATGTGGGTCATTTTTTATTTCTGTTGTGACTTCTTTGAAAGAAGTCCTTCGAGAATTTTTTTTCTCCATTATACTTTCCTAAAATAACATCACAATTACTTTTTTTGCTGCTATTAATTAACATAACAACACCAACTACAGAGACTGTAAGAATGAATATAATGTCATTCTCCTCTATATGTTCTATAAAATTTTCTGGTAATATATTTATATAAAGGATGTGTTTAGGCAGATGAATACTGTTTAAACATACAAGGTTATTTAGCTTATTCACTTGGTAGAAACAATCATAGTATATAAAAATTAAGCTACAGATATACTGTGGTTCTAAACAAGGCATTCTGTTACTTTTTTGCTTAAGGATCACTCCTTTTAAAGCCATGCATCTTTCTGCTTTATCCACAAATGTATTACATCTGCAGCATGACAGCAGCTAAGAGAATGACAACAAAAAACCAAAACCCTCCTATTTACAGACCAGGAAATCATATCTGGTGCTGACAATGTGTTCCCTGCACTGAAATTTCTCATTTCTTTCTTTCAGATGAAACAAATGCACATTTATGAAACTGTATATGTAGAAAAGATTAAAAATTAAAAATGTTCCTGCAGGATGTATATATACACATATATTTACATCTAAATATTTTTTCTTAGCCTTTGTAATCACAGACTAAGAAGATGCCAAGAAGGATGAAATCTATCATATCTCTACAAGTTTAATGTGGCTTCAGGTTATCTTACTAAAGTGTGAAGAAAGTAGGTCATGTCCTTTGCTCTGTATTTCTGGGGCTCCAAAGGGAAGTGCTGTGCTAAGTAATGTGCTTTGTCATGTTCCTGTTCACTACTGAGAGTCCAGCAGAAAGATAAAATTTGCACGAGGCTCATCACACTCACTTGATCTATTCACTGAATTCTACCTGATCCCAGAAAGTAGCAAGTATCTTGTAGAAACACTATGAAGAAGAAAAGGGGGGGAGGGCTTTGCTCATACTCTCCATAGGTATCTGGCTATGCCGTCCTTGCAAATAAAATATTAGGTTTGATAGAAAATATAAAAACATAAAAAACTTGTCATTCCCACAGCAGAGCAGTAAGAACTCCCGTGTTTTGTAAGAGCCTATGTGGGTTTTTTTCCCTTACACTAGGAAATATCCAGTCTTTAGCTCCAATCCACTGAAGTTCATGGGACTCACTGGAGCACTGGAGGCCAGGAAAAAGGATAAGTGACTGTTGCAGTCTGACAAGGAGAAAGACAACCTACTTAGCAGGTGGGTGTAAGGCAAGTAGGTGCTTTATTAAAATGGCTCCCACCTTATATAGGGCGAGAGCAGAACTTTCTGGAACTGGGCATGTAACAGGTTAGGAACATGCAGATTAAAGCTATATAAAGAAGATCAGGAGATGGCTATGACTCTATAAGGAAAAACATGGGAGGAGATTACTTCATAAGGAAAAAACTGCCATATGGCATAAATTAACCAACAGAAAAATAGGATTATAATTGAGGGTAGAACTAAGGGAATTTTCATAAAATATAAGATCACAGAATACAGGTATAATACAACATTTATTCAAGAACTTGAAAACGCTTAATATGTCCACAGTAGATCACAGGAGGGAAGTTTAAACTGAAGTCTTTTCTTCCTAGGAACTTTCCATGTTTTCTCTCCAAATCCGGTATCTTCTTTCTTCCTCACTTCCCACAAGTGAGATAGAATTTCAGCTACTTTATTTTAAAGCATTGTTTGCAGGTCCTTTTTCTGGGGTTGCCACTGCATGATCTTCACAAAATTTCTTAGCCTACTGCTGCTTGAATTAATCAGAGTAATTACCTGAACTAGCAGGACTGATAACATTGCTCATGTGAGACTAGGTGTCTAATCCACATCAGCTCTAACACTGTGACCACTGAGAGCTCAGAGAGGATCAGCTGAAGCCACATGGAATGAATACAGCTTACTCTTAGGGGGTTTAGAAAAAAGACAAAGTACTTCCATTTCTACTCAGGGAAACACTAAACAAAACGATCTCGGGATTTGACAAAGTTGTGCCAAGAAATGAGTACAGACAAAAGGATTTATCACAGTATGTAATTTCATTTAAATATTAGAACATTATGTTCTTTAAACTGTACCTTGAAACACTTATTAATAAATAAACACTCTTAAAAATGCAGGGATATAAAATATATCAAATACAAGTTATGAAATAATTAGTAAATGCCTACAAGTTTTATTAAATATATTTACAAAATATAATTATAAATAGAGTTAAATATAAAAGTTAAAATTTTATTTTCTTGATATGGGAAAAGACATATACCCTTTGCTCTAATGTAATTAGCTGAAAACAATATTCTGTTCAATTTAGGTAGTCAGTGTCTTTGGATATGCCCTGGCATAGTAAATTACATACTTGATCACCAGGTGATCTAATAGCATGTCTTCTGCCTCTGTCAGTGCACCTGTGGCAAGCACATGACCTAGTTCTAGGATGCAATAGAAGGTTAAAAACACAGGTTAAAAGAAACACCTAAAAGACTCAAAAAAAGCCTATAAAAGTATTACATCCTTTGGTTCTCTGAAAGAGAATACTGAGTATTCAGCCTTTAAGGGAGCAGCTGCTTACATTGCAGCATATATAAGACACTTCATTACTGTAGTGCTCTGGCTCAAGTTTAAAAAAATGTTATCCAGATTTTGGCTTCTCATTACAGTTCAAGACAGAAAAAAAAAATTCAATCTCTAAAAAAAGTCTTGTCAGTGAAACTAAACTACTTCCTGGCCAGATCAACTGCACAATGCTCTTCTTTTTTCGTCTTTGGAAAAGAAAACACAACAGCTGAAATTCTACCAAATGAAATGTTCAACTCTTTTTATTTATGGTTTTTTTTTTTCCCCTTTTTAAATGAGGTTACATCTCCAGGAATAAAATATGCCTGTGCTGTACTGCCTTTTCCCTGTGCAGGATGCCCTTCCTCTGTGTGCAGACTCTCTTTGCTGAGTCAGTACGTGCTTGCACTGACCACCCGGCTGTGCTGAAGGGGTGGGTGATCCTTCAGGGCAGAAAGTGCAGCGAGTGACCTGTGCCATGTATAAATTTCTGCCTACCTAGAGAATTGCAAGGTATGACAAACCTCCTTTTTTACTGGATGTAGCTCAGTTCCTTCAACTGTGAAATCTAATTTCTCCCTGGAAGAAAATAAAATGTCATGTGGAATTAGCTGTAAACATTTGTTCCATACGATTTGAAGAGACATGAAAGATCTAAGGATCTTTGATTATTTTTCCACACTTGAAATTGTGCTTGTACTAAGGACAGTTGCATTTTCTTTGCTTTCTGTAACACAGAGACAAAAATAAAATGTTTGTTACTCCAACAGATCTTAGAAATAGGGCTTGCAAACTTTTCCATGTTTCAGAAAGAGGGCTGTTGTGAGACAGTTCAGTTGAGTCACAGAATCATAGAATATCCTGAGCTGGAAGGGACACACAACAATCATCAAGTCCAACTCCTGGGAACAAGCAAAAGGGGCTAGGACATCCTGGAGGCTAGAGGTACTGTCTCTAGCATTCTCTAGCTGCTGCTTCTGTTTCCTTCTGTAGTTTGGATGTGGTGGACAAGCATTTTCTGATGGTAGGCTGTAGGCTGTAACGCAGGGTACTCTGTCTCCTTCCCTCCTGGTAACCTTTTTCTTCAGGAGAGCAAGCAGATGGAAAACTAAGATGGAAAAGGAGGGCAGTTGTGACAGGAGAAGCTTGGAGAAGAATCTGGCTAATTTATGGTGGCTGTGGAAATAGCCATGTCAAAAGCATGGTTCTTCACTCTGCTCAAAATGCTAGCAAGGTGGAGTTCCTGACTCCGAAAGACACAGGCACATGTCCTCCACCCCAGTGAAGTAAACAAACTTGTTGGGAAGTGCTTGTCATTGTGGCTTGGCTCTATATCCTCAACATGGGCCAGCAGGGGTAGTCTGGGGAGGGTGTGTGTGTGGACATAGAGGGACCAAGGCAGGAGGATGGGGTTGGATGTGGTGGGCTGGGATAGAGCAGGGATAGTGACAGACCTGGTGGAGAAGTCTGGACAGCAGGGAGCAGCGTAGAGTGGGGGAGATGGGACAGAAGAGGAGGTAATTACAGGACATGTCCCTGTCTGCAGCAGGCGGGGCTCTGGGTGGGGGTAAAGGCAGGCCCTTGGGTGTCTGGTGGGGAAGTAACAGAGTCCTGGGTTAGGCAACTGGCTGAGCAGAAGTAGGGGTAGAAATACGCAGGAGAGGCACCAGGCAAAGGGCAGTTGTCAGTCAGGACAAGCTGTTGCAGAACTAGAATACTTCCATTCTGCTATGTGGGCATCACTGAGGAAAAGACCCCACAATCTCCCTCCACCCCTGCCCCACAGGCAGGACTACCGGTGTGAGGACACTGCAGCAAGCTGTGTTGGCATTCCCTGTACTAAAGATGGCCAAAGACCATTTCATTTCATAGAAATATCTTCTATTCTTACTATACCTTTTATCATTAATGCCTTTTACAGACGTTCTTCCATGCAAGTTCAGAGAGGTGTTTTTCATCATTTCAGGTGAACTATTTCAGCTCAGTGAGCTGTTCATTCAGAGCACTGAAGCAACACAGAATTTGGAATAATCCAAATTTTCTTTCCAGTTCCAAATAAAGTAGAGGTAGAGGGTAAGAGCTACTGATTCTATAACTTTCAAGTTGTGGATAGACATGCAAAACCAATCATCTCTACTTACTTACAAATTCTATTAGCCCCCTTGGTGAGCCATAAAATTTAGGTTTGAATGTTTTGATAAACTGACCTTTTTCCAATCCACTGCACTCGAAATACAATTTAGTTAATTAAAAAAGTTGCAAAGCACTATCTTGATGTTTATAATTTATGATTAAGGTGATTCTAACTCAATGCATAAAAAGTTATCTGAAATGAGACAAGCAATCTATTTTACATGATAAAATGTAAACATAAAAAGTTCAAATGCATTTCCATCAAGCCACAGTATTCAAATATCGATATTTATAATGCATCCTTTTGCTATTCATTTTAACAAGGCATATTTAGGCTAAGGGATGGAACGGTTTCCTGACTCTGCTTTAATGGAAACCAGTGAAGGAGACAACTGCAGTACACATGGAAAATATAGTAATCATAATCTTTTCTGTCTTCTAATTTTAGAACCTAATTTTAAATGGTGCTTTAAATTATCCTGCATTTCAGCCCTTGTTTTTCAGTCAAAAGGGCATTGTGTATCTTTCCTCACATTACAAGACATGCACAATTATACTTACTATTTTTTATGTTAAATGGCAGTCTAATTTCTCTCCGTACAGCAAATTTATTTTCCCTCACTTCCCCTGAAGCTCTCTCATTCCATCAATCTTTTTTCTGTGCCATTAAAAACTTGCTGAGAGACAGAACTTTATGTATACAGGATAAAAAACCCAAACTACTTTTGGGGGGCATGTCACAATAATTAATTATTTATACAAGGGATATTAGTGGCATCTAGCCTCAAATCCCTTAAAATATGATCACTGAATTGTGTTTAAACATGCATTTCATTTTCTATGGTTTAGGATTAGCCATTTGTTTTCGCTGTACCAGCTGACTTCTATGTGAAGTGGGATATTATTCCATAGGATGATAAATTGCAATCCTACTTGTTCATGTTGTGATGCAGTTGCCCACAACTGGACCTATGCTTTGAGTAAGAGGTTGAATTCAATAATCCCTAAAAGTCTCTTTCAAAACTAGACTATTCTGTGCCTGTTTTTGATTGTTGCTAACATTGTACAAACAGTACATCTTGCAGGAAGAGGTGAAAGCCTATTTTCTTGTTTAAAGATCTCATCAGCCCTGCACATGGTCGCATAAAGCTGCAGCTGAGGTCCAGACCTGTCCTACAGACATTTCAGGAAGCAAGGCCATTTTACTGTCATTTGAGCACTACTTTACTGTTTTTGTGACCTGAGCTCCCTCTGAAAGTAGTATGGACTTAATTTATATAAATTGCGTGATCTGTTATCCTGATAATGTGTCTTTAGATCACTGAGGTTTCATAGTATTTTTTAAGTAGTCACTTACCTAGACAAGTAAAGTTAACAATGTAACTTATATACACTTGTAATATATATATCAGGTAGGAAATAATTTCTTCATATTATTGCCAAGCAATCAAAGTATCTGTCAGGTATCAAATGATCATAAGGTTAAAGACAAAGATAGATTTAAGGCTTATTTTTTTATCACCTTCAGATCACTTTAAATACTTTTACACAAACTTGAAAGCTAGTTCTAACATCTGTGAGAACTGAGTATTTCCACATGTTTACCTGGTTTCAGTTGCTGAAGATTTAAGCAAACTAAGAAGTGCCTTGGAATTGTTGTAACCAAGGTTTTAAAGACCTATGTACATGTGTACTACCAGCACTGGCCAAAGGGCAATCACCAATAGTGTGTTTCTCAGGAGAGCCAGAAGGTGGCACGGCTCAACAGCAGGAACAGTCCGTAGGCGGCAATAAGAGCTGTTATGTACTGGAATAAATGCTGAAAAAAACATGTTGATTTAGGGAAAAGGGGCTCAGTAAGAATCAACTCTACTTCAGAGAGGGTTACTCAGCAGAGTTTATGAAAATAGTTTATTTTTTGGACGATTTTGTATTAAGGGTGTGTTCTGTGCCCATGTGCCCAAGCCAGGTAACACCACCCTGTTTTGGTAGCCCTTCCTGGCACAGAGTTACCCTGCAGCCTAGTGGTGTCTTCCCTGGCTTTCCTTTTCCGACAGGAAGGCTATTTGACGTATTAAGGAGCACCTTAACCCGTAAGTGCTTTATAGGTAGGCAGTTTCAGGATATTGTGTACGCATATGTTGAGCGAATGAAATACATGGCCCTCCAACACAGCAGGGGCACTAAAGGCTGATCCTCAGAAAGTTGCATCACTAGTGAGCAACGGAACCACAGGAGTACTGTACTCTGACAGAAGTCATGAATATATCAAAACCAATGTAACAACACAGACTACTTCTGCTGATGTAAAAGAGTTCCGGTTGAGTAATATTTGCCTTGGTAAACAGAAGTGGACGAAAAAGAGTGAGTGATCACAATGTACCAAGTTCAGGTACATCCTGAATGTTGGAGCTGGAAGGTTTTCCCAAGATCTTGTCACCTTGTGTGTATGCATTACCTTAATCTCAGGAGGAGCTCACGGAAATGAGCAGACGTGTAATGTAAACCGTTTTTATAAACTGATGACTACTTGCACCTGAAGGCTTTGGGATTACTGTCAGTTTAAAAATTTTAGCTGAGTTCTTGGAGTAAAAGCTGATTAATCTTTTTAATGTTGGATTTATAAAATTGAAATGCCATTGCTCCTAATTACAGGACAAAGAGGCAGGTTCAGACGGAGCAGTTTGAAGGTTCTTAATATGACAAAGTAGAATATATTTGTATGAATATTTAAGGGGAACAA